CGGATAAATAATGTGTGTGTGTAGATAGTGAGTAATTGAACTGCAGTCAGAAGTAATGTTGACGTTCGTTGATATAGCGTTTGTTATAGAGCGACTGTTGAAAATAAGTGTATCGTAAAGTTGTATTCGGAAAGAATAAACCAGTTTTATTAAGTAAGGACTTGTGTCGCTAAAGTTTCGTCGGAACGAAATTACGGAAAGTTAATTAACGAACGGAGACGTAACAGTATCATCTTCTTTGTTTCCACATGTAAAGGAGAAGATTGTGTTCTATTTTTAAAGTTATTTATTAGGGATGACAGCTTGATTTTAAAATCAACAAAAATGGGAACTTATAATAAACATGAATATTTGGATATCTTGAATTTTAATAATAGTTAAGTTAAAAGTCAATTGTACTAACATTTTTTAACAAAAAATAAAGCACTTATTCTCTAAACGAATCTTAAGCTTTGAGTTATTGTTTTATAGGAAGGAAACCATATCACCATAAGACTGAAGTCACAGGTAATCACTCTATTTTAGGTTAGTTTATTAATAAACTTCAGTGTTATTATCTTAAATATGTAGGCCGGGTGTGTTTAGGAGTTTGCGTGCTCAGACTTCGAATCGCATAGTTCATGGTTAGTTGTTCGTTGCCACAAAACGTGCTTTGTACTTTGGGTCTATAGGAGTGACAGTCAAATCCCCAAAGTTGTTTGTGGTATGTGGATGCTATTGACTAGCTACCTTCTGTCTAGTTTTTAGAGTTATGAGTCTGCTGTGCACTGATAGATTTTTGTGCAGCTTTGCACTAAAACTTTGGAACAAAAAACTCAGATATGGTTACACAAAAGAATAAAATTTGAAAATATGTCTGTCGAAGCTTTAACATATGCTTGCAAAAATAGTTTTAATGATAGTAAATATTACGGGTAGTAAAACTAACTAATCATAAAAGGTAAGAAGCAATGAAACTCTTGAAATATGCTGCTTGCTCACCGATAGAATAAACCAAAACCTAAATGTTTTTATACTTATGTCATGTATTATATTTTTATACCTTACAGTAACGCCTAAACATATCTAGAAATTGGAAAATAAATGGAAAATCTTTGCGACACTTAGAAAGAAAAATATTAATCGAAATATTTGCCAGAAATCTCTCGCCTCTTCTTTTTTATCATTTACCACTGTTATATGTTTTGCGACCTCTGGCGGGTTACTCCTTGGAACGTGGGAAGGAGGACTTATTGAAGACACGTTGTGTGTCGTTTAAACAGGAATTGTAATTCTAGTAGCACATTTCATATTATTAATATCTGCAATCATGTCTATGTTAGCTGAACCTAAACGTAAAGTTGTATGGAGCTTAGATCCTCGAGGGAAACTATGGTCTGAAGGTATCTAGAAATATTACTATTATGAAACATGATGCACTTTTATTTTAGCGTTTATGATAGTGCATGGTGAGATTAGATTTAACTCAATAACTAGTTTAATTTGAACTGTGTAAATTGTAACTTGTAAGCTTGTTATTGTTACTACTGAGTGTTAATGCAAATACTCTATAGACATAGTTTCAGTTTCAACAATGATTTCTTGTTTATCTATATGTGATGAGTTTCTTTGTTTTTGGTTTGCTGCTGCTGCTCATCATTTGTAAAGTGTTGTGTTTTGAAGAAATCGGTTCGTACTTGTAGTTACGAGTGCACGTGTTCCGCTAGTTTTCCTGAATGATAATAAAGGTAATTCAAATAAAATCTTAGCGCTAAGTAAATAATCGGTGTTAAACAAATAAATAATACCGTGTTATTAATCCTCACCTTAAACCTGATTTGGAAATGACTTAAATAAAAATTGATAATAATTACAATTCACTTACTTAATGATTAATCTAATTCATACCATTAACACTCATCATTTGTTCATGAAAAATGATATAAATAGTACCTAGATCACTACTATGTTGTATCCCTGCTGGCCAGATGCGCTCTGGTACTGGGTGCCAGGTAGGTGTAGTGTGGTTCACTTGATATATTCTTATTTGTTTTCATTCATACATTTTCAAAATTAAAATGATTGTAATTGATTGCTTGGAAAGAATGTTAATGCTTTTCACTCGTATCGTATAATACTTGAAAGGCTTTATTAATGTATTGCATCTGTCTTGGAAGTTTCTGATGATACTTTGAGGTTCTAGCACAGATTTTTGTCAGGTGAAGATACGCGTTAGCAGCTTGGAACACAGTACAAAACTTGCTAGAAAGATGTAGTCAATTATATTTAAAGTATGCTCTTGTCTGTTTAAACCTTTTCTCAAACAAGGTACTATGTAATGTCTTCTGTTTCAGTTCTTTCTGCCAGAGTTTGTTTGGAAATGGGTAAAATCTTGACAGTCATATTATTACCTTGAAGGGGCAATTAATCAATGCAGAATAACACCTCATTTGTTATTTAATTAATTCAACGCTTCCCCTTCAATAATCTGAGAAAATTATTTCCAAATCTATTACAGATTTTCTGTAATATACAAGAATATCTCCAGGCCGGTATTCATTTGTCCGTATGGGCAAGTAAATAAATGTCACATTTCTTATGCTACTTGATTACTTCATTTCATCCTTACAATAATGAAAAAAGTTGCTTTCAGATCTATCATAGCTTTTTTGTAATATATATAATAACTTTAGGCTATCATGTATTTGCCAGGTGGGGCTGTTAATTAAAACAATGACATTTCATATAGCATTTGATTACCCCCAGTTCCTTTATATACAGATCTGAAAGAATAGTTTCAAAGTCTATTGTAGTTTTTCTCTAATATAAAAACAACAATTCTGGACCACCATATATTTGCCCAGATGGGTCATTTAACTAGGACTAACTGTCATATGTGATTTGATTCACTTTTTCCTATACAATGATCAGGAAAAATGATTTGCAGATCTATTATAGGTTTTCTGTAATATCAAAAAAAGCTCCGAGACCAGCATATATATGCTTGGACAGAGCAATTAATTTCCAGTTGCACAGTAATGAAGAAAGAATTAAAACATACCCAAATACCCTGTTAGAAAAATGAAACTGTTTTAGTATAAGATGACACCTACCTTGCCC